AAATGTCTACCTGGGACCCTGGTGCCGGGCCAGCAGGTTGTCAAGCAGCTGAGCTGCCCCCAACTCAATGCTTGGTTGGGGCTCTTGGGCAACTGCTCCCTGGCAGGGATGAGAGAGTGCACAGCCCTCCTCCTGCCTCCCTGCCTGGGTCCCTGGAGAGGAGACTGCCCACCGTGGCAGGCAGACTCTGCGCTCACTCTCCCTGTCTCACAGAGCACTCATATTTTCCATGTGCAGCAGACCGTGAATTCACCTTCATACTAGTTACAGGGTTATTTAGCTTCTCCTGACACTGACAATCACCAAACTTTAATTCGCTGCTTGGCTTCTCCCTGCTGTGCCCTCTGCCCATCCACAAAATCCCTGGGAGGGGATGGGAAGAACCTAGGTCTGGCCCCCTCTTGCCAAAGCTTGCCCTTTGGAGTGATGGAGGGATGGGGAGGGTGGTCAGAAGGAGAAGATGATGGGCAGAGGGTGGGGGGAGAGAGCAGTAAAGGAAAGAAGAAGTACCACCAGGGCTAAGGGGAGCTTCCATCCTGCTCCTCCGGCCTGACACTAATGTATTCAACCCAACATCCATCCTGTTATGAATGAAGACTCAGCTTACTAGGCTGTGGGTCTCAGGGCTGGCAGCCCTGGCCAGGACCCATGGGACCAGGACTCACTGGGGTCCCAGGACTAACCAGCTGCCACAGGCTGGCTCCTTTGCCTGATGCTGGAGGAGCAGGTGCCCATCTGGGAACCCACCAGAGGGAGCCCATTCTTACCAATCTCAGAAGCCAGCTCTCATTTTCTCCTGCCGCCCCCGTGCCAGTCTCCTGCCAGGCCAAGCCATCCTGCCCTACAGAAGCTTCTCTCTAGCTTAGAGCCCTGTTGCCTGCATCACGCCTCTCTTCCTTTGATGAAGGCAGGTGGGTCTGGCTCAAAGCCGCTGACAAACATCAGATGGAAAACAGAGACTGAGAGATCTCCCACCAAGGACCCAAATCACACAATCTGGGGACCAATCTAGGAGACAGGGCCCAAACTGGCTGTCCAAGTGCCTGCTTCCTCGCCCACTGGGAGAGGCTGCTGCTGCCTTGAGCACCCACAGCAGCCCCAGCAGGCTCTTTGTCTCTCTTCCCTTGCCTTCAGCAGATCCCCTTCATTCTGTCTCCTCTGTGCTCCCACACCTTTCCAGGAGTGATCCCCGCTTCCAGAAGGTCCAAAGAAGCCTCTGGTTGGCTCAGGAGCCGGGCGAGCCCAGAGATCTCGGACTTTTCCTCTCAGCTACCCTCCACCTCCTGAAGCGGTCACCATCACCTTTCCCCAAAGCCTCCTGGGCAATGAGGTTTCCTCTGAGGACCATTCAATGGAATCAGGGGACTCTCTTATTCTCCAAATCCAACCTGGCCCCATCAGTCACTCATTAGGCAGAGAGTCCCAGGAGCAGAGAGGATTCACAAGGCAAGGCCCTGGGCTGAGGGGCTTGGAAAAGCAGAGGCAGTGCCAGGGGCAGAGCCAGGAGGGGAGAGGCAGGGAAATCCACTGGTGGGTCCAATTTCTGTCTGCTTCCTCACAGCCCCAGTCCACTACCCCACCCTGGCTGGCAAGGGAAGTGGCCATGGTGGCCTGGGCAAGAGAGATGTCAACGGGAGCAATGGCAGAGATGGGAGAAGGGGCTTGTTGACTGCAAACTGTCCATTATGGCTCAGATTATAAGCATATTGCGCAGGGCTCTCTGCACGATGCCGAGGAAATCCAATACGCTGAAAGGTTAATGCAATCAATTAGGGTGACAAGGAAGTAAAGTAAAGCCTTCAGAGTAGATGAAAAGGAGAGAGAGGGAGAAAGAGAGTGCGCCATGGAGTTGGGGGTGGCAATCTGGGTGGTGGGAAGGCGAGGAGGAAGAGAAACTCGTGGGATGCAGAAAGAAGGCTGGGAGGGGAAAACACATACAAAAGGCCAGGAGCCCATGAAAAGAGGACAGTAAGAGAGATGGCAGCAGAAGCAGCAGGAAAGGGCAGCTGGTGAGCTGTGCGGGGACACGGCTCCCGTCTCAGACCTCTGACTGCTGTACAGCTGCAATTTCCTTCCCCCTCCTCCCTTCCCCTTTCCCTACCAGCTCATCCTCTAGGGCTTGGAGTCTGGCTCCCAGGTTAGCTCCCAGCACTAGCTGTGTGTCAAGCAGCCTTGGTCCCTGCCCCTGTGCAGAGCAAGTGCCCACCATGTACCGGCCAGAGCCTTCTCAGCCAGAACTGCAGCCTGGTTCCCACCTTCCCCAGAATGGGCCCAAGTTCAGACCCAGACTTTTCCCTTGGCCTGCTTTGTTCTCAGTGGCCCCCACAATCACAGCCTTCACAGCTTTCCCTCACACATCCCAGTTCCTACTTGAAACAAGCCTGCAAAGCAGAGAGCACGGTGGTCAGGACTTCCTTTTACAGACGGAGAAACTGGTGCTCAGAGAGGTTATGCAACTTCCCAGGGCTCTGCAGCAGATGGAGGACCCAGGACTGAGCTGAGGACTCCAAAGATTCCCAGTCCACCACCCGGACGGCATTTTCTTCCCTGGCGCTCACTGGGGGCAAGGAGCCTCACCTTTTCCAAGGTGATGGACTCAGAGGTCCCAGGGCAGGGGTGGGGAACTCCATGGAACCTGCCCAGGGATGGCTGCTGCCTCCTACATGTACGAGGGAGACCCAGGCTCTGGGAGGTGAAAAGGAAAGAAGGCCTGTCAGGCCCCGGGCTAGACACTTTAGGCCACATTAATACACTCACTTGTCCCATAACCCTGCAAAGTAGACATCCTGCTCAGCTTGCAGAAGAGGAAACTGAATCTGAGAACTTGCTGAAGGCTATATGATGGAGCTACAAGGCTCCTGGGATGCCAGGAGCAAGAATTCTGAGGAAACAGTGCCTGTCAAAGAGAGGATAAACCAGGACTTCTAGGTAGGTGGAGACTGAGTAGAAGATGAGGTCCTACGGAGAGCAGAGAGAGAGAGAAGGTGGCCCAAAGAGACCAGGGCTGCAAGCAGTCCCGCAGCCTCTGGGACAGGGCTCCTGGAAGGGCCCCTCAGAGCAGGATGAGAGCACAGAGCAGGATGATGGTTGTACAACACTGTAACGTACTTAATGCTAGGGAACTGCACACTTAAAAATGGCTACGATGGTAAATTTCATGATATGTATGTTTTACCACTTTAAAACAACAACATTAAAAAAAAAAAAGAGCAGAGGACAGGAGCCAGAAACTCCAGAGCAAGAGATTGTAAACTTTTCCTATAAAGGGCCAGGCCAGATAGTAAATATTCTAGGCTTTTCGGGCCGGTTTTTGTTGTAGCTACTCAGCTCTGCCAATGTAGAGTGAAAGCAGCCATAACCGATATACAAATGAGTGGCTACGGCTGCATTCCAATAAAACTTTATTTACAAAAACAGGCAGTGGGCCAAATTCAGTCCTCAGGCCACACGTGCTGAGCCTCGCTCCAGACCATGGAAGCACCTGGGGCTTCCAATGGAAGCAGATGCCAGGTTCCATCCCACTGCCTGGGGACAGAAGTAGCCAATCTGGACCTTACCAGGAAGTGGAAGGAAGGGCTGGGTAGAGGCCTCAGGAGGAAGTCAGGTTCTCGTTACCGACAGAAGATGGAGAAAAAGAAGGGAAAGGGAACAAGGATGGGCATGGGAAACAGATGTCCAGGAACTGGGCTTTCCCAGCTCCCAGCCTCCCGAGAGGCCCTTCACTGTGCTTCAGACCCTCATGTGTGACGTGAAGGGGCAAGACTTGCTGCTTTCAACATTCTAGGAGTCTTGAAGTCATGAGAGAGGTGTTGCGCTACGGCTGGGAGGACGGTAGTGGGGCAGCCACAGGGTTGGGGTGGCTAGGGGATGCCAGGAGAGAGAAAGGCGAGGAGAGAGGCCTAGGGAGCAGAACTGTAACCAGGGTGGTGCTGGCGGCAAAGGGAGGAATCCACGGGCCCCAGCGAGAGCGCAGGGCGCGGGCCGGGCCTGCCCTACACTGGCCGCCTCTGATCACGTTTTTCAGGGCCACTGCCCGCCGGCACAGACAATACTGGGAGAGCCTTTGAAGTCCAAAAGGGATGCCGCGGTGGGAGCCGCGCGAATCTCCTCCCTTCCCCCGTCTTCCTGGGGGAAGGGGCTAGCAGGACAAAACCCAGAGCCCGTCACAGCCGGGCCCCCGAAACGCGTGAGACAAAGGGAAAACAAACAGGTTTGGAGCCAGGCGCACGGTGCCGTGTCTGTCCCCCGCCCCGCCGAGCGCGGATGATGGATGGCTGCAGCCAGCCAGCTCGCCCGCCGGGCAGGCCCCGCTATTTACATAACACTGGCGTTCCACCGGTCACCTCTGACACGGCGCTGCCTGGGGCCGAGGCCCGGTGGCCCCAAGGTTCCTCGAGCCACCCGGGGACAGAGACAGCCTGCGAAGGCCTGGCCAGGCCAGGGGAGCCCTATGACTGGGGAAGGGAGGGACAGCAGCCTCCTCTGGGCACAGGGCCAGAGGCCTCAGGGAGCAAGGAGGAGGCCACGGGGGCCGGCAGCCTCCGGGGAGAGAGGCCGGACTGAACTTCTAGGGCTTTCAAGTCCACGAGGTTCCCCAAGCACGAGCTACACGCAGAGCTCCCAGGGAGAGCCAGCAGTAGCCTCAGCGGCCAGACAGTGCCGCGGAGAGCTGGATCTGGTGCTGCCCAGCAGCTGAGCCCTGGCACCACAGATGCCCCTTGGCTTCACGCCGCCTTGAACACATTCCATGCCCAAAGTCAGCGATCCACAGGCCCCCAGCCCATTTCCAGGCTAAGAGCCAATATGAGACCCTTCTGCCAGGGTCATCTTTTCCTGCCAGGTTCAAATGGGCAGTGTGGTTCCAATTCCCCATCTCCATCTTCCTGATCCAACCTGTGTGTTCCACACGGATGGACCCAGCCCAGGGTGACACGTGTACCAGGTGCCAAGCCACCAATGAGGAGAAAGACCAAAGGATCAGGGTAGGGCTTGGGCCTTACCTTGTAGCGGGTCCTAGAGGCTCCTCTCTCACGGTGGGGGCGTCACTTCATCCTGGGAAGGGACAGACAAGAGCCACTTAGCCTTTCAAGGCAGGACACCTACCAATGCAGCACATGCCCTTTGTACCGCTGTGTGCCCCAGGGCTCCCTACAGCCCCTAGACCGAGGGGCTGATGCTGTAGGGCTGGCCAAGGATGTCAAAAATTCAGACGCGTGGCATGGGCACTTACTTTAGCCCATTTAAATATATGCCAACCATTATTTGAAAAACTTCAGAAAGCAGTGGGAGCTGACCACAGTGGAAATATGGTCCTCAGGACACCTCGAACCAAAGAGAGAAAAGTCAGACCACATTGCACACACCTCCGTGGAGACAGAGCTGACAGTGTGCGGGTGGGGATGCTCCTGGGGAGCTGCAGTGGCTGAGCAGCGGGGCCTTGGGACAATGACAGAGTATAGCAGCACCCCTCCCTTCACTCTCTTCTCCTGGCCTCTGAAGAGAAAAATGACCGATGCCAAGCTGTTCACTATAGCAAATGGGTGACAGAGGTGTGAATGTGGAGCAGGGGCCAGGGCACCAAGGAACCTCAACCCCCACGAACAGGCTACAGACAGTACCTTCCACCCTGGGGTCCTACTGATGAGTCGCCATCATGCTGGGGGCCCTTGCAGGGAGAGGGAAACTGGTCCAGCAAGGTAGGGGGTCTTTAGCCAACACACAATTCAGCCCAGCTTGCCAGGCCTAGGCTCTCTTGCCCAGAGCATGAGTTTGGGGAGCCAGGTTCAAATGGGACATACTCCTCGTGTGGACAGAAAACCCAAGGTGCCCTCTGTCTGCTGACCTGGGCCCACCTGCCCTTGCCCAAGCCAGGCCCTGCCACCCCCACCCCCACTCCCCCCAGGCCTTCAGAACTCTACCCACACTCAGGAAGGGTTTTCTGTTTATTAGGTTTTTTTCTTCCCACTCCCTTATTTGTGGCTTATCAATGATGCAAGAGGAATAACACCAATTTCCTTAGGCCGTGTAATCCCCAAATCAGATTGGGGGGATTGCGAGAGGTGAGGTGACCTTGTACAGGGCTCCCGGAATGCCACCCAGTCCTGCCGCCCGCCCTCCCGTTCCCAGGACATATTTAGACAGATAATGCTAATTGTACTCGACACATCCTCCTAAGGAGGGTTGGGTCCTCTGCCAGCTTTTGCTGCCTTTGCTGGGCTGCCTGGGCCGAGGGTACCCACCGGGGCAGAGCCCACCCTGCTGGACAAAGAGTTCGGGTGGGCATCGAGCAGTTGCCGGGGGAGGTTTACCCCATAGGCCTCTGATGTCCATCTGATCCAGATGGTGAGAAGCTAGGGGTCTTCAGAAAGCTGGGCAGATGGAGATAGGGGGCAGCAGAGAGGAAGGGGGAGCCCTGCTGAGATGGCAGAAGGGGCAGAGGTTGGGAGAGTAGACAAAAATAAGTCGGAGAGGAGAGCTAGATGAAGCAGAGGCCAAGCAGGGTTGGGCCATGGGGCAAGGGACGGAGACCCAGGGCCTCCACTGAGAGGCACTGGGCAGGCTTGGCTGTCAGAGCTCACATCCCAGCCAGGCAGCCCAGGGACCCAGTGAGGCATCATCGCCGTCCGGTCCATCCCACACTTGCCTGCCTGAGATCTCTCAAGGCGCCCTGGCCGGCCTCCCTTGAACCCCCAAAGCCCCCCAACTCCACAACTCCAGTATCTCCCTTCTACCACCTTTTTCTCCCCTCCCATCCTCCCCGGCAACTGTGCATTTATTAATTCATGAGGCACTAATTAGTTCTTTGTTTAATTTTGTGTTAAACAGACTGACCGGAATGATAACGACTTGCAGCGCGGTGTTGCCGTCCCCAACCACCCCTGTTTTCTGACAACAAGGGAGCGCGGGAGACCAGAGTGCTGAACCTAAATCCCTCAGCAGTTGCACTTCATTAAGTCAAAATGTGACAAGAAGCTTAGAGAGCAACTTGCAGATCTGATCACACAGAACAATCGGGGAGGAAACTTTTCAGGAGTTGGTTGGGGGTGGAGGAGGGATAGGGGAGGGGCAGAGATGCTTAACCGCACGGGGACCAGGACGTGAACTGGGGTCCCGTCCCTCACCTGCCCCTGGGGCAGGTGGCCTGGCTGATGGGAGCAGGGAGGCTGTCTCTGGGTGGGATCTGGGATGCTGGGTGGATTCTGGAACTCCAGTGGGGACCTGAGAAGTTCAACTTTAGCTCTCTTTTCTTGCATGAGCATCTTCTCCTGTCTCTCTCACTTTTTCTGACGTTTGATTCTGGCCTGTGTGAGCTAGTGAGTGGGCACACCCAGGGCCGGCAGAGAATCAGAAAGCTGCGGCAGTTAAGGAGGGATTCTATAAGGCTGAGGGGAGGTACTGAGCGGGAAAATGCAGAGGAGACCAGGAGACCACTTGGGAAGGGTGAAGTTAAGTGCAACCCTCCCAGGCTAAGAAAGAGAAGTAACGTGCTCAGGGATCACGGCCAACAGACCCACTCTCTGCCAGCTGCCCACCCACCCATCCATCCATCCACCCAGTATTCCTTATCCTAACCACAAAACTGAGGACCAAGAGGCTGAGTTCTATGCAGAGGTACATGGCAAATCAGAAACAGAACGTGGTCTGTTTGGCTTCCAGGCTGTGGTGACTGTAGGCAGGCAGCTGAGCTAACAAGGACAGCAAGCCTTGTTACCTGCTGCCTCCTGTCCTTGTGAAAAAGCAGGATCTCGGCCCAGAGGGGTCAAGCTGCTAACCCCATAGGTCAGCGGCAGGAGCGAGGACGGGAGGGACTGGAACCAAGCCCTGCCCCAGTCTAAAGACACGGCCTCTGCCCTCCTTTTACCCGACCCGAACCTCGGAAGGTGTGGACGATGTCTTACATGAATGAGAACGTGGAAGGGGACATGAGGAGAAGAATGAAAGCACACAGAGAAAGCTGACAAACGGGAGCCCGGATCGCGCGCGAAGATCCTGTTGCCTTCTTCCCATTGGCCACTGCGCCAGCCCAGGTGTGGCCAGACCCACCTGCTGAGAGCCCGCCCAGCCAGCCCGGGGGCCTAGGCCTTCCCCTAGCCTTGCTGAAGTGCAGTGGTCTCCTGCCCGAGCCGGCAGCCCTGGGCTGGCTTCTGTTAATTTGCTGTCAGGCTGCCTAAGCAAACCAATTAAAACTAATCATTAATTATAAAAGAGAGCAGGAAGAGCAGAAGAGAGGGGAGAGGGTGAAGGACCAAGGTGGGAAGGGGGAGAGGGAAAGCCGGACAGAGGGGAGACGCAGAGGGCCTGCAGGGAGCTCTCTGTTGGGGGCTGTGGGCCTGGGAGCTGGAAGGGACCAGGGGCCAAGAGGCGCTGGAGTGGAGGGAGGGCAGGAAGGGAGCCCAAGAAGGTGGCGAGGGGGCTGCCAGGGGCAAGGGGTGGAGCGAAAGGCCAGGAGAGGAGGGACGGGGGAGAAGGAAGGGTGAAGAAGCTGCTGCGACCAGCATACCAGGACCCGAAGAGGCCTCATCCACCCGCAGTCCCCTCGGCTGGAGCCACCGACCATCCTGGACTCGGCTTCCAAGCGTCTCACCCCCGGCTCCCAGGCTCCATATTTATGAGGCTCGGTTGATTATGCAGCACCAGGCCAGGCTCCTCGTCCCTGACACCCCTACCTGCTCTCCAGCCCTCTCAGGCCTTGGAGGCTGGGAGGCTCGGGGCAGCTGTCGGCTGCCCACCTACCCCCCAGTGCTGGCTCCTGCCCCCTCCCCCACCCTCACCACACCCTCTCCCCATCCGGCCGCCTCGGCCCTTTCACACGGGCTGGAGGCCATGTCAGCCGGCAGCTTGGAGGAGGGGGGCAGCGCAGACAACGAAGGGCAGTGTCATGGAAACGGGCACTTTCCCCGAGAAATATTCTGTTTGGCCTCCTTCCTGCATTGAGGAGCTGTCAGGAGCCTGAGTGAGAGCCACACCACCCCGGGACCAGGCGTGACAAAACCTATTTTCTGCCTCAAATTTGATTGATTAAAAAACTTTTTAGGAAAACCATGTTAAAAGAGTAAAAAGAAAAAAAAGAAGAGAGAGAGTGTAAGAAGGAGAGAGAGGGAGAAATGAAGGGGAAAGAAAGGAGAGAAAGGAAGGTGCTGCTGGGTGCAGGGCCACGGGCAGGGGCCGAGCAGCTGCCCCCGCAAAGCCGCCAGGGCCTGAGTGTCAGCGGGCGGCCGCCGCGCCGCCAGGCAGACCGGAAAGGGCAAAGGGGGCCCGGAACTTTGACACAGTGCTTAGCAGGACAACGAGGGGGCCGCAGGCCCCGCACAGTCCAGCAGGTGCCGGATCCAGACGAGGCGGCAGCCCGGGCCGGTTCCCCATCCCACTTGGGGAAAGGAGCCCAACACCCCAAGGTAGGTGGGGGTCAGCGCCAGGCCTCTGGACTGACTCCTGGGCGGGTTTCCAAACAGAGTCTAGGCTGGAATCCACACAGGGGCAAAAGGAAGGGGTTAGTAGTTTGGGGGCAGGAAAGGGGTTTTCCCACCTTGTACTCGGAAGTCCTGGGAGGTACCCAGCAGACCCGCTGGTCCCGCAGCGGGCGAAGCTTTTGCGGGTTCCATACCTCTCGCTCGCCCTCTCGTCTCACACTTTCCCTGCCCAGGCCCTTAGTTCCTTTGCCAGATGCTGCCCTGTGTGGTCCTCATGCTTGGCCTGCCCTCTCTCTTTGCCCACCTCAGAAATGAGAGCCCCATGAGAGGCTTGGATGGTGATGAGAGGCCTTGCCTTACTGTCTCAGGGCTGCAAGGGAAGGGCCAGCCTCCCCACCCCTCCTGAGACCCTGCAGGGAGAAGAAACTCCACCATTTCCCAGAGGCCCTGCCTGACCACTCAAGGCAGAGGTGGTTCAGAGGCCCCTGGCAGGACCCATCCTCTCCCCAGGGCAAGGGGTCCAGGTGTGTGGCTGGGTTTGCTCTCCCCCATCTAAGGGCCTCGAAGGTCAAGGTGAAGAACAGATCTGGCGAAGTTGTCAGCAAGGTTTCTCCAGGTGCTGGGAGGGGTGCTCAGCAGCCA